TTTATTATTTACGCCTACTGTTAAAGTATGGGCTATGTAAATTTTTTGGTACTTTGTGAGCGGAGGAGCCATCCTTTCAACACCACGTTTGCATGCCAACTGAGTTAGGGAGGCGATCTAGTGCAGTGTAATCACAACGACACCAACCGCCCTAAATCGCGGCCGATATATCGTGCCCGATAGATTGGGTAGTGTAATAGGCGCCTTAGGACGGTTGGCATCGTTGTGATTACACGGCACTAGATCGCCTCCCTAACTCAGTTGGCATGCAAACGTGGCGTTGAAAGGATGGCTCCTGCGCTCACATGTACCAAAAAATTGGCATAGCCCATACTTTAATTAACTGCGGGCGTAAATAATAAAACAAAAAAAGAAAATGTTGGATGAAAAATATTTGCTTCTAAGAGACAAACTATGCAGTTTAAACTACTACAGAATGAGTTCTACACAATTTGATCATATAATAAACTTAAGCATACCTTATATAGCGCAAAATAGCGGTTAGCTGTGCTGTAACCTTAAAATTTTTAGCAACGGGAAATGCATATCATGAGTATTTATATTTTATAAATACTCACTACTCAATAAATTTATTGTTTCCATAGGTAATTTAAAATAATGTTACATAATTAAGTTAGTCTCACTATGGAGAAGCAAATATTTTTCACCCAACATTTTGTTTTATTATTTACGCCCGCAGTTAAAGTATGGGCTATGCCAATTTTTTGGTACTTTGTGAGCGAAGGAGCCATCCTTTCAACGCCACGTTTGCATGCCAACTGAGTTAGGGAGGCGATCTAGTGCAGTGTAATCAAAACAACACCAACCGCCCTAAATCGCGGCCGATAGAATTGGCTAGTGTAATAGGCGCCTAACTGCGATTAGACTTCCCAATTTACAGTGTACCCGATGGATCGTGCCCGATAGATTGGGTAGTGAAATCGGCGCTTTATAGTTTTTGAGTTTCATTTAAAAATGTACTAATATTTAATAAACATGCTATTTATAAATAATGCAATCAATTCACAATGCTATAAATGCTATAGACTCATTATTATACGAAATAAAAAATCTTTTTTCATTTTTAACAGTAGAAAGGAATACCGAACTTTCACACGAGGTCTGCTTATATTATGCGATTGATTTCAAATGTAGTCAATCTAAAGGAACATGTTTCTTATCCGAACTCTTATAAGTTATAGAGCTTTCCAGTAAAAATAATTTGAATTTTATTACTATTTTCCATTTTCTGTCAAAATACTAAAGTTTTGTGAGTCCTCGTGGTAGTTTATAGCATTTAAAACTGCATGACCTGCCTGAGCACAAAATTATCAATAAAAGTAAATATTTCAACAGGATTTATTTGCTTCAGTTCATAAGTATTTGTATTGAATATTGTCTTATAACTTTGTTTTGGTGTCAACTATATTTCAAAATAAAAATATAATTTCCATTAAACAAAAAACGACGTGTCTGATACACAAACTAATCGATTTCTCAAATAATAATCGATTCTCGAGATATTTGTTAGTAACATTATTTGTACTACACCCTTACTAACGATGATGGTATGTGTCAATAGTTTATTTCAATGACAAAAAGTCAATGAGTTAAAAAAAAATAGTTCCCGAAAGCAAACTAGATGTCGCTACGGTACATTCTTGATTTCTCCATGACAACCCTTCCGGTTCTCTTTCATGTATAAAAGTAAATCAGTTTTCGAAACTCAATAAACTACTCATATTCCATTTGTACTTTTTCGTATTTGTATTGATATCTAAGTTTCGAACTTTGCTAATTTCAGTTTTTTAATATGTTAGTTAAAAGGAATGGAAATGACTAATTTTGATCCATTCGTTTCTTGTAAAAATCAACTTTCGCAAGAGTCGCCTTCTAGTGGACATACTTTTTAGTGCTTTCTTTTTTTTAAATACTTTGTCATTGGCAGTATGGCTTAGTTCCTTCGCCTGTTCTATGGATGAACCTAATACCTACTATGTACCTCGTATATACCTACTTAGTCTCTATAATACTACTACGTACTTAGTCTGTGTTTACTAGTGGTGGTTAAATTAGCGTCCAGCGTGTTAATTAACAAGCTTTTCTCTCTTAAAGATTAACACAGCTATGTGCGAAGGCGCTAGGATTTCACGCGCTAACACGATTCACGTGTGAAATTCCAAACCGGTTCAACGATTAAACGAACGAATATGACGAGACAACAATTTATATAGTTATATGGGTTGTAGGAATCAACCCATTTAACGGTCGTCTGTTAGTGAATCCTATGGCGGCAAATCATAAGTGAGTTTCATACTTAAGAAACCTGAGATTTTATTTCTTTTTAACCTGAGATACTAGGGATTGGTGTGGGTTTTTATCCCCACACCAATCTTTAGTATGTTTACTTTTTGTTTTGGTTATTTTTATAATTTTTTGAAAAAAAATCTGCGAAAATACGTAAATATTATTTTTTTATTAAATTATGAAATATACTGCCAAATTTGCCTAACATGTACAAAAAAGCTTCACTTACAATAGCATAGCATCAACACAACATTTGTATAATTTTTTCCAAGTTAAAATTACAAACAGTTACGTACAAAAATTATTAATATAATAGAGTAATGTGATAATTTAGCTTGAGAATGACTTGTTCTTTGAACAGTAATAATACGACGAACTACAGCTACCCATTCAGCCGCAATGAGAACAAAGTTTTTAACAAAAGATCCACTGCAGCTACATCTTCTGTATAGCTCTCTAATAATAAACTATTTTAAAATAAACCATCACTAGTTAGATTATAAATATATAATATTTTATTGTGAACGCTGTTTTTAAAGTCAAAGACAGTCAAAAGTAAGAAATTTATTTCTAGATTTTTTTTTTCAGTTTTTCCAGATTCCGTATTAACAATTACATTAAAAATTAAATCTTACCTGTTCAGTCAAAAACATTTTTAATAGCAAAACGTTATTGTCGTTTCAGTATGTATTATTTTGTTGATCCTGAGTATCCACATCGCACCTGCAATAAGATAACCACGCCACGTGTTTGGATTCCAGGAGTGTACATATTATGGCTCACTTTAGTTGGTTGTAGGTCTTATATAAGACCACCTGGCTATTCTGGATAGCCAGGTGGTCTTATATAAGATGTAGATCTTATATACTTATATCGATAAATTAGTCTAAACAACAACAACAAACTAAAACTGTGTTAAATATATTAACTTATTTAATTTTCACTGTACTTTCTATAATTACTACAGAGGTAACTTTTCTCTCTACATTATACAGGAATATTTTTAGTTACCGTATTTCAAAACCAATCTTGGTTTCTTTGCATTATCAACTGTAACAGTTTTAAAATACATTGCTTAAAGGGTATAATAAATCAAATACACTTCTATTTATTCTATCACTTGTGTGTAAATTTTTTCAATAGTCTTAATTTTTACCAAGACATTACCTGAGGTTAAAGCCCGCTTCTGATTATTAGTGCCAACATGATGAACTTGTCGAGCCTGAATGTTTTCTTGACTTTCCAACTCTGTAAAGTAAAAAGACTGATTTTTCACAAGACCTAATAAGAAAAATATTAATAAATACATGGTAAAGAGAAAAAACATGGTACTCACCTAAGAAAACTGGTTGAGCAGGCTGTCCAGATTGAATATCGTTCGGAGTAAAAAATGTGGGAATGGAAATTTTAGTCCTGCTATTGTTCAAATATTTTTGTTTGAAATGAAGCTTACAAAACCATTGGTGGCAACAACCATCATAGCCAAGACTTAATGTAAGGTTTGGAACTTTGTCCAGCACAATTTTTTGCCAAAGATCGAACAGGTTTTTACGTTATTGAGTTATGAATAGCTTTGTTGAAATAGAACTTAAATTGCAACCTGAGACATTTGTTCTGTGAGTTAGGTATGATCTGAACTTAATGTATAAATATCGTTATAGGTATACAGGTAGTAGCTTTTTTAGAAAAATTGTTTGATGAAATTCAAAAAACAACGTACATACCAAAAATGGCTTTAACAATTCGTTTTTAAGTAAGTACGGTAATAACGCGAAAATCCGAAAACATAAAGAAATGAGAAGAATATCATACCAAACGTCAAGATTCATTTTAATATTTCCCGCTCTTGTAACTTTAGGTATGTCCGGAATTTTATGGTACTTTTTTTTGTTACTAACGAGTGGGGGCGAATGTATGAGTGATTCCACGGGCTGCGTGTGAGTGCGATTGTTGACACTTCATTGCTAATTTCATTGCTAATGCTCGTAGCACGCTAAGTAGCTAATTATTACGCGCGATTATATCCCCTCTGCTTTAACAAAGCTTACTAAGTCGATATTTTAAATACTTTAGTTTAGAAGGGTGATTATGTGTTATTCTGTGTATGTTTAAAGAAGTTTGTTTGCTATAATTAATTATATACGGTTGTTTAAACAATTATATTGTGAGAAAAATGTGTATATAGTATATGATAGCAAATGTACATAGTAGATTCTTGTACATAAAATCGATGAACTTTTAAACATGCCTATAATTGAATTATACTCAGTTGTTAGCCTGAAAAATATGAAGGGGAGTTTATCGATTTTCTTTTAATTTAGTAATTACTGCTATAATTTATTTCGAACTATTTAAACTAAATTTTAATGAGTTATTGTTTAATACAGCACGTAATCCGTTTAACGTACAAAATAAAATAATTAACGTGTTACAAGGTTTAACGTGCTACAAAATTTAACGAGTATTCACGCACCCTTACGCTTCTTCGAATTAAAGCGTTAATAAATTAGCGCCTTCAATAACACGTTAAAAAAATTATCGTTAGTCTACTTCTGGTCAAAAGTGAAGGAATCGAAGCAACCGAAGAGCAAGTGTTCTGTGAATCGAAGTCAAAGAGAATATAGCTAGTGGTGTGTGTGTGTGTGGCCTACCAAAAAGTTTTCGTGCGTTGTGCCAGCATTGTGCCCTTTTCTAAACAGCTGGCAATCAAATGTCTATCAATAGTGAAGCAAAGTTCGACTTTTATTATTATTCATCGTATTCTCCTTTAGTAAGTACAAGTTGCCATTTTTATTGCCGGCCAGTTTAGATTAAAAACAAAAGATATTTTAATCTACAATAAATTGCTAATTGATTCTAGTACAAATTTCTTTTAGTTTTTGCTACCCACTTGACATATGTTTTTCTATTAAAATCTATTTGACAAAAATATATAACACTAAGAAAACCGGCTAATCACGAGTCGGACTCGCTCACGATGGGTTCCATACAATTATCTTTCGAAAACTAAAAAAACACGTTTGTTGTATGGGAAAATTGTTACTTTATTCTGTTTTTACCCGACTACGGCGAAGCCAAAGGGTGGGTTATGATTTTAGCCGGTATATAGGTATGTATGTAAGAATGTTCATCTGTTCCCTTTATTTCAAACTACCTATCGTAACTGGACAAATGAGGTATTATTAGAAGCGTCTTAGTTGTCTGCGTTACAGGCAAATTGTCAACAGTCCTCTCTAGAAAGCATAAAGTAAGAATAAAAAATATATATTTTTGAAATATGTAACTTTTACTTGTGATTTTACTTTATTACACTTGGAAAATAATATAATAAAAAAAAGACAAATACTAAAACTTGACTACAACTAATTTCTTGAGTCAAAAGTCAAAATAATCTTTATTCAAATAGACTTCTAAAAAGTACTTTTGAATCATCCAACATTTTTTTTCCCTACCACTTGTTCAGGACGTCTTTTAGCTGATAAGAAGAACAAGCAAGAAACTCACCAGCTTTAATAAGGGTAATGACATTTACAAAAACCATGTCATTATCAGATCAATACATTATAAACAGAGAGAGAAAAAAAAACTATGGTCTTATAATGATAACATAATCATTTAATAATAATGGAAACAAGATAATGAGTTTAGAAGTAATCACCTATCCAGTTGCTGGATCATCTCAAGTCCAAACGTTCTTATCTGTTATATAGTTGGATACCTTATAATAAGCTTTTTTTAATAAGTATTTTTTTAATAGTAGATTTAAACTGCATGATATCTTATTGTTGTATTTTGCTTGGGACTATATTGTAGAAGCGCACACAAAGACCCTTGAATGAGTTATTAACTTTTTGCAGTCTAGTGACAGGCACCATTAATTTGTTTTTATTTCTTGTATTAAAATTGTGTACATCACTTTTTATAGAAAACAAACTAATATTTTTAGGAACATACATTAAGTTCTCGTATATGTATTGAGAAGCAACAGTCATAATGTCTATTTCCTTAAATTTCTCCCTTAAAGGGTCCCTAATCCTAAGATTATAAATTGATTGAATCGCTCTTTTCTGAAGCACAAAAATTTTTTGTATGTCGGCAACATTTTCCCACAATAGGATTCCGAACGACATTACACTATGAAAGTAACTGAAGTATACTAATCTGGCAGTATCTATGTCAGTTAACCTACGTATTTTCATTACGGCATATGCTGCAGAGCTAAATCTACTCCACAATTTATCAATATGTGGGCCCCATTGTAGTTTAGAATCTAATGTTATTCCTAAAAATACTGTGGTATCCACAACGCTCATGTTTTTATCTTTTATATTAACTTTTATATCTACTTTTTAAACATTAGGTAGTACAAATTTTAAGCATTTTGTTTTTCCTTCATTAAGGAGAAGATTATTTACATTAAACCAATGTACTACTTTAGCGATAGAATTGTTCACATCGTCAATTAGAGGTAACCCTCTTTTAATTTAAAACAAAAGTGAAGTGTCATCCGCAAACAAAACTATTTCGTGGTCATCCCTTACGAAATAAGGCAAGTCATTTATGTAAATCAAAAACAAGAAAGGACCAAGTATTGAGCCCTGCGGAACACCCATCTTAACTTTCGATACAGGGGATCTTTTGCCATTGATATCAACCCTCTGTACTCTGTCAGTCAAGTATGAGACAATAAAATACAATGAGTTATCTCTAAATCGATAAAAATGTAGTTTCCTAATTAATGTTTTATGAAAAACACAATCAAATGCCTTAGATAGGTCACAGAAAACACCTAACGCTTCATGTGAATCCTCCAAGGCATTCAAAATTTCTTGTATTAATGTGACACCGGCTTCGGTTGTTGAGCGACCCCTTGTAAAACCAAATTGTTGTCGATACATAAGCTTATTCTTGTAAAAGTACGTTTGTATTTGATCCAGCATGATTTTTTCAAAAATCTTACTAAACGTAGTTAGCACGGATATAGGTCTAAAGTTAGTAGGGACAGATGTGCTACCCGATTTATGTTAAGGAATAATTTTACTATATTTCATGAGCTCAGGAAAAATACCACAATCAGTACATTCATTATATATATGAGCTAAGATTGGAGCTATTGTCTCAATAACCGATTAAGAAACGTCAATGGATTTACCCCATAAATCAGCGGTTTTATTTTTCTTTAGCTGATTAAAAGATTTTATTATATCTTTAAAATCAATGTGTTGAAACTTAAATTGGTTATTATAATTATTAAAACTTGCCTTTAAGATAGATAGATTCAGCAACAGTGGAAGAGGAAGTCAAAGATTGTGTAATTAAGACTGGAATTTCAGTAAATTAATTTTCAAATACTGTAGCAACTTCAAGATCTGATGTTACTTTTTTATTATCAATGTTTAAATTAAAATTTATATTCCGGGATTTTTCTCTTCCAGTTTCACTATTTATGATATTCCACATCATTTTAACTTTATCTTTACTATTTTTAATTTTTGCATTTAAATAATAACATTTGGCGAAACGACAACAACGACTTTTTTAAATAATTTAGAGTAATTTCGTACAAAAAGTATTTTAGAATGTAATTTTCGTAAATTTTTTAGAATGTGATTTCATTTCAAGTCCTATTTTGTTTCACTTTTATCATAGGAGTTAGCAATTTGTTTCATTGGATTAATTTTTACCCTTACCTAATTACCATGCTAATGTAGTATACTTTACTAAACTTAACTATGTCTCAAAAAACTTACTTTATTTGGCTTAAGATATTATAGAAATTAAGCTTTATATATTATAGATTACTTAAACTTAGAAATGAAATGTTTATAAACACCTGTTTACTAAGTTTACTTCTGTCGTCTGAGTCTATTACAATTTACTGGCTGTTCTACATGTTACTGGCTGATTTTTAGGGTTCCATAAGCAAACCCTTATACATTCATCATGTCTGTCTGCCTTATAAAAAATAAATGTAATTAAGGTACACATGGTTTATGTCCAGGTTACCACAATATGTCAAATTTCTGCAATGGACTTTCACTTTACCCTCAATGTATTAAGGTTTAATATTGAGTTGTAAAATTTGATAGTACTTTATATTCAGGCGTGTAGTTGACTGTACATGATTAGGAAAATAATAAAAAAATTCAAAGCTAAATGTGGGAAAGTATATAAGTCTTTAAAAGGAATATTAAAATTCTTTCCACTTTTGCTTTTAAATAAAAAAGTGAATATCTAAAAACAATATATTGTAGATCTCTAGAAACACTATTAATAAATATAGTCAGCAATTTATGAGATAGTAATAACATATATCCAAAAACTACATATACACTAGTCCAGACATCCCGTATTTCAGGCATAAGTTCAAATGTCCCGCCAGGACCGACTGTACCGTATATAAATTCTATTTTATATTTTGTCCATTTTTGTTTTATTGAATTATTCTTTGTTACATAGATAACTTCACAATGCTGAGCCGATTTACCATTCTCTTGCTTATTTAGAGTGTTAAAAAATTACTGTTCTGAAAATTAACTGGCACAAGTCTCAAGATATGGTTTTGAAAAATAATTTAAGCCCTATACTCTTAAAAAGCTTTAAGTTTAAAATCAATCAACTTTTTATTATTTAAAAAGTCATTAGCATCTTTAATTGTGGAAAACGATACAGTACATCTATTACGACATATTCTTTTAACACTTCCTGTCAATATATTATGGAAATTATTTTTCTTTAAAAAGTTGCCGAAAGTAATAGTTTGAAGTGTGGAGCCATCACCCGGAGCAATTCAATCTTGAATTCTTTTTACATGAACAATATATGGGGACAAATCTGTAAAAATATATTGTTTACAAACTACCTCTGTACGTGGGAATGTAGAAGAAACGGCTTTTGAGTCATCTCTGTTTATTATTGCTAAATTATGGGTGTTATTGGTTCTTTAAATTCTACATTGTTTTCTACTAAAATACATTAACAATCTATTTCGTTAGAAGTACTACCTGTATGTGAGCTTCATGGAATCCAACTTCGCGCAGCGTAGTTTGTTCGACTTATTTGAAGGGCGATGATATGTATTATACTATAAAAAGGTTACGTCGAATAAAGCAAAACTCATATCTAAAGGCTTCAAACTTTCTAATTAAAATTTTAGTTAACATAGTGAAAGTTTTCAAACTTTACTTAAAATTAATTATATAGTCTCTAATGTATGGCCTCCAATAATAATTACTTACTCTTAAAGATTTTAGAATATCTGTGCTGATATTGACAAACGAATTTACATTATATTATTAAATAGCATATCATTAATGTTAACTCTATAACATCGTAACATTAAGTTATTGGGGTGTTTTTAATGACTATGGTCACACTGGCACGCACACTGCAATTGCTAAAAATCGGCTTCACTTTGTTGTTCAGCGAACTCCGTATTTACTTTTTATTTGGTCTGAGACCTTACAGCCTAGAGCCTTATATAATATGCTTCAATATTTGGTTTGTTTCAGGATTTAACAATGTTACGAACGGGGTGTAAAATAGTAAGTAGGCATTTATTATTTCTGACGTGACATAGAATTCCGTTTAGGTGATCGCAGATGTGCAGGTGAGTACACCTGTGTTACTACACACCGCTGGAAGAATCGCCGAACTATGAACCTCATGACGTCATTCTAATTTATTTATCTGGGATGATTACTTTTATACAGGTCTGTCATGTAAGCTACATCATTCATTGATGTAAAGAACTTGTTGTGCAATTCTGTATCTTTAGTTTCCAAGAACTCTATCACAGAGTTAAACAGGTTGAAAAATCGAGTCAGACAATTGCCTCTTGATAGCCCACGAAATTTAGTATGACACAACACACGGTTAAAATCTTCGTCATTTGTTAACACGAAGCTGATTAAATAATCTATAATTCAAAGAGCTGTTGAGGATTTTATTAATTGCTTTGATGACATATTGAAGTGATTGAAATAGTCGTTCACTTAAGATTCTAGCGACCAAATGTTGTCTATGAATATCGCAATGTACATCAAAGGCATCTGAAATTTGTTTTTAAGAGCGATACGAGGCCTATATGGCATAGCCCCTGTCATAGCCGGAGCGTTATCCGTTGCAACTGATATAATATATTTCAGCGGAATCTCTTTCTCATTACAAAACTTTTCTAAAGTATTGAATATGCTTTCGCCTTTTCTATCGATCTCTAAATTTCTAGCAAACAATAGTTCTTCACATATTTTCTCATCTTTAATAACCTCACGTAAGACAGCAACAGTGCTTCATTAGTTGGTAAAGTGGATTCCTCGAATTGAATTGAGAATCGATTTATTCTCAGGTAATCGCACAATGATCCTTCAACGTTTTCAACCATTCATCAATTCGTCTTTGCACAGATTTATCACTTAAATGAAGTTTTCGGATAATCTCTGCGGCCGGTTTATGAAGCACAGTAGTTATTACTTCCTTTATTGCTGGCAAAATTAACTCTTCTCTCTGATGTTATGTGCTTTGCCTTTTTGAGTAATTAACAAAGAAATATTTTACGAAGCTCGAAGTCCGTCGTCATTTTGCTTAGCAGCCGCTGAAAATAGTTTTGCTACACTTGGCTGAAAATTATGCTTTTTCTCTAGGTCTTAAAAATATGCTACATTGTTGTCTTTCGTATCGGGATACATTTTAATCAATTGAAGGTCTTAAAGGCTTCATTGCTATTCGAAAATGTTTTTAGACATAGAAGGCACAAAGGCTACGATGGGTTTGTGTTATTTTCAATGAATCCGAATTTTATATATTCCGCACCGTATTGCCGTCTATTGTTTTTACTTCCAACATTGTTTTTTTTTTTTTTTTGTGAAATACGTAAGTGTTGAACTTAAATAAGTACTGCTTATCTATTACGTGCGCAACCGCAAATGAAAATAAAATAAATATTACGTTGTTTATATAGGATTTTATACGCACCGACAGGAATAAACACATATGCTTACAGCCGATTGATACAGGAATGCACAATTCGGGTTATATATCTACGAAAATTACTAATCTAGGTGCACTGATAACAATTAGAATGCAAAAGTAGGGGAGACCTAGGTGAGTTGTGACAAGGAGGATTTCTCTCAACCTATTATAGTAAGCGAGATGGCATTAACGCTTCTTTGTCGTTCTCGACACGCGCTACTTGACTCTTGAAATCAAACGATCTTCGTAAAGATGCGACATGTAGTTATTTAAGTCTCAATACGTGGCACTGATTTTTTGTATGCGCATCGTGTTTAGAAAATATGAATTATTATTAGGAGCAAGACGTCATTTTGAACACCTAGGCAAGTTGTGACAGCCTGTCACAACTCTCCTATCTTTCTGCTGGGCTATTTTTTCATTTTTTTTTTTCATTAACTATAGATGTTTGTTGGTGTGTTAGTAGCTACTTAAGGTGTATAATGGCATACCGCATACTTATTTTTTTGAGAATGCCAAATAACTATACACGAGAGACTGAAAATCTAAGAATGTTAAGAAGCGCGTCTTAAGCGAAGAAAAAAAGAAACCTATAAAAGCAAGAAAGACTAATATAATATAAAGAATAGAACAAGTGATGAAGAAGATGCAGAAAGTAATTGCTTTTATTTGGTTTGCCTTGAAGCCTATGCAGACAGCAGATCGAATCAGCAGCGGGTGCAATGCCTGGAATGCAAAGGGTAGGCACACGTAGATTGTACTGGAGACGAGCTGCATTACGTTTGGCATAATTGTGAATCTGATTAGATTAAGATTTTATACTGATTATAACTATAATATGATTGATCTCAAAGCGATGCCATATTTAGTTAATGAGAATATTATAATTACTTGTTATGAGAATATTAATACTATGTTGTTTTAGTTGGTAGGTACTAAAAGATGATTAAAGTACTGATTTGATAAAAAAACGTGCTTGATTTATTTATGTCATATGTAATGGTATTTTTATATATTATAGCTTAAATACAATGATGTCACAACTTACCTCGGTACCTGTCACAACTTACCTCGGTGGTAGGAGAGTTGTGACAAGGGGAGTGCTCTTGAATTTTGTTATTTTTTTCAGAAACTATTATACTTTACTTAATTTTAGTGATGGTTTTGAAAACAGAAGAAATGGCGCTAATTCACACGAGTCATAACTGTGGAATGCGAAATAGAGCCCCTTATGTAAAAATTGTCACAACTCTTCTAGGTCTCCCCTATGTCTGTTGCCTTTTTATTTGTTTGTGTCTACTTTCATATTTCGCACGGAGCGACTGATTGGCATAATTTTTATTTTATATATTCAATAAGACCGAATAGATATATGCCCTACGCGGAGAGAATTATCGAACCGAGTTTGAGCAATCTCTTGACTAATATTAGTTGATGTTCACAAGTTGTAATTGAGAGTCGAAAGATCAAGCAGTCGGTGCCTGAGAGGCCTCCTAGCTAAATTAATTTACAAATCACCCACGCCCCAAGCCTCTACACAACGCTCCCATTTTTTCTCGGTCTCTTACCGCCCTCTCTTACCGCCACTTTGGGAAAGGCTGGTATAATGCTTTGGGCTAATACCAAAAACGGGGAAATTCCGAAAATGATGAATAACCACCGAATCAGGCATTTTTAATAGATAAAAAACAAACTTTTAATAGATAAAAGAAACTTAATTAAATAGCCTAAACATATGGCTTGTTTAATGTCATACATATTTGGAATTTCATCCCACGTTTGTGATTGATTAGTTATCCTAAGCACCCTACATTATTTCATCTAGATACCAACCAAATTTCTTAATCTATTTCTATTGTTCCTAGAGAAAGAAATTAGGTTAATATGCAGTGCCTAAATTATGAGAGCTAAAAAAGTGAGAGCTAGCCTAGAACGTCTAAACCTACAAAATAGACTTCTGCTTTGAACCTTTGTGCTGTGACAACTCTATGCTTCACGTCGAGTTTAAGGCTGTATTTATTACTGAATAGTTCGTTAAATTTTGAAATAACAATTCTTTAGGGTGTTCGATAACAACAGGTTTGCTTTCACTCTAATGTCACTGACCACTGTGTTATATTATTCGAGTTGGAATCGTCACCCAGTTTCGAAATTAGCAACCGGTTTTCTCAGTACAAAAACTATCGAATCCGAATCGAATCTGTAATGACCCCTAGGGTATGTAAAATTGTTTCTGATGTTTGCACAGCACCAAGGCTAACCGTAAAGGGAACATAAGATATTAATCGTTTCCGATACGAATTCGAATCGTCCGTACTGGAATATGATTTTCATGTCGTTATAAGATTAAAAAAACACATGTGTTCACTTTTATTTTTTATTTATTTTTCATTTTACAGGCTTTAGCGAGGACAATTTTGAAGCCATATGCAAGTTCATACGAATTGCTCGCTAATTATACGTCTGTGCAGTCAGAAACTCAAATGAACATTCAAAATTTGCCAAGATTGCCAGTTCCAAAACTTAGTGATACTTTAGAAAAATATTTGCGAACAGTCAAACCTCATCTTAATGAAGATGAATTCTCTAAAACAGTCAAACTTGTGAAAAACTTTGAAACAGGGGAGGGGAAAAGGCTTCAAGTGAGTATGTGTAATATTTTATTTATTAATTAAAATATTTATTACCGGATCCATAGCCACAGAATATAAAGAAAATAATGCTGGGATCATAGCTCTGATTTGACAATTAACTTTTACAGTTCTTTTGCAATTATTAACTACTAATTAGGACGAAATATCATCTTCAAGCAGGGCATAGAGGTAAACTAGTCCATATAGGTATTTCGTTCTAGGCAACTGCCTAGAAAGAACGGTCATGTTTGAGGGGCAGCAAGGCATAATCGGTTTTGCTTTAAAAATACTTTTTTTGTTCTTTGGACATGAATATATATTCGCGGTATTCAAAAGAACAAATATCAGACTGTTAGACTGGACTAGATCTAACGAGTAGTTTAATCTAAGTAGACAATAAGCTCTATTCAAATCCATTTCGACTCAACACGACAGATTTTTTTAAAATTGCAGTCATTTGTTAAAACGAAAGATACATAAATTCAATAAACGAATTCTCAGAAACTCGAATTCTTTACCCTAAGTATTTTTCGATATGTTATTCCTTTTAATTCCCTTTATGTATATAGACTTTTTAAATAGACTCAAATGGCATATATACATATAAATACTCCTTCTTCTTTAAATACAAATAACATTAGGTACCAATCTACAGGTTCTCAAAGAGTTCTAAAGCAATGCAATTCTTCGTTACTAGGTATCTATCCTAAACTAAAAACTTTATGTCCAAGGGTTCGATTCCCGGTCGGGTCAATGCAGCAAAATGATTTTTCTATATTGTCTCGGGTCTGGGTGTTGTGGTACCTTTAGCTGCTCGTCTTGGAATTTGAGAAATGTATGTGATGTTGTCTATTTTTTTTTTTTCATCGTGACCCACCTAATTTAAATGAATAAACACATTTTTACTTAATTTTTACATTCAATTATCTATCTTAAGCATCTTTATATGCGTATTTTTATTGCCGATTAGGCCACTTATTCCGAGATACGCAAATCTTTTAACAATCATTTCAATATTATACATTATTGTAACCAAGCCAATTAAACAACTACGGAAACGAACGTTAAGAATGTCGAGTAAGCAATCAAATCTTTCCTTTTTAAAATATGATTATAGATTATTGAAAAAAAATATGTCGTGCAAATAAATAAAATCTCCTTTTCTAAGACTTTCACTATGTTGAATATTTTTCTTTACATTAATATTTAATATTTTTAGTGTTACCTATTATATAAAAAATATCAATATCACTAAAAAGCTTGTAATAAAAACTTTTTTTTTAAAGTAATAGACTTCATACTTTAATAAAGTGATAAATAATACTTATCTCAAAAACTTAGTAGGATGCTATTGAAGTCGGGCGGAGGTTTTTTGTTGGTTATTATTATTGATTAAATGATAGGCGCACTTCAATAGCATTTTCTTGAATAAATCGTTTTTGAGATAAGTATTATTGATCACTTTTTTAAGATTGAAGGCTATTACAACCGAAGTCGCGGGTGGAGAGCCAAATATATATTTTTCTTTTTATTAGGTTGCGGTTCTTGTTGTTGCAGAGTTTATTGGAGAAAAGAGCACAGACTCATTTAAATTGGCTCGAAGAATGGTGGTTGAAAACAGCTTATCTTGGATATCGTGATCCTGTCGTCGTGTTTTCAAGCCCTGGGCTGGTGTTCCCATTTCGTAAATTCAAAACCCAATTAGAGCAACTGCAGTATGCGGCTAAAACGATACTTGCTACCCTGGAATATAAAGCATTAATAGATGGGTAAGAACTATTATTATAGAAATATATTTTATTTTACGCGAAACATTTAGTTAACATATTAAAATTTTAATATTTATTCCATTATGTAGTAGGTATATCGGCAAAATCATAAATCAGAACGTCACCTTTTTCTCCGCTGTTAGTAGGATGAATGAAAATAATTAGTCAACAGTGATTTGGACCGATGCGCAACGGTTCCGCACAAATATTTAACTTCTTAAAGGGTTTTTTAATTATTATGAGCATAGAACTATTTTAAATAAATTTTCCAATTTTAGACCCCGTTTCGGAGATTAAGGGAGGAATTGGTAAACTTTCGTCTAGTTTCTTAAATAACTTCAAACGCTATTTACTTACGTTATACGACCTTCTTTGGGTCACTCGTTCACATAAGTGTGCCAAAAAATGTTTATAACAGAGGGACAGACAGAACCGCGTAGTCCTATATGGGCCCCGATTTTCTTTTTTTGGTACGTAACCAGAAAATATAGCACTGACTAAAAGTTTTTCCTGTAGAAGTAGGTATAAGTTAATGATAACGCTTTATGTCTTTTCAGTTGCAGTAGATATTACAATTATGAAGATGTGATAAATAATATCCTTCTTCGATATTCATTAGTGATATTGTTTTAAAGTACATAATTATTGTTAGGAACTTATACTTACACAACAATGTGATATTTTAGTCTACATTATATCTTTTCCGCAGGGATAAGTTACCTGTAGAGATGATGGGTAAGAGTCCTTTAGACATGTCACAATATAAAAAAGTATTCGGAACTTGTAGAGTACCCGCTGATAAAATCGACAGGTTGTCTTATAATGATACTAAATACGTGACAGTTATTCATAATGACCATGTAAGTTTTACTCACCGTATTTTTTGCCTTAAGCTCGTAACAGACAGTTAAGTATGTCACTAACCAAAAACTACGTATTTTCTACTTTTGTTAACTTTTTCTTTGTTAAGTATAAACTTTTAAATGCAAAGATCCTTGTGAACGTAGTTTGCATAGAAACTACTAGATGGCGTTGTGACGATACGTTGGTTAGAGGGGCTGATTACAATTATTGAACTTTAAACGCTCATTACTCAAAATCGCATTTTTTGCATTGTGTCACTATCGTTCTCAACGTGCGATTATAATATTTCATCATGAAATTCTTAAGTAAACATATTTTGAAACATATATTTCTGTATCGCTTGGCATCTTAATACACTAAATGCGAAAATATAATATTATATTAGCCGTGTGTGTTGGGTCACTGGATTGTATGGCGAGTGTTATTGTATCTTTAAATATCATATTATAGTATCTTCACTGTCTGTTACGAGCTTTAATCATTAGTCTGGTAATAAGCCACTGTCGATGCGCAGGCTTTCCTTATGGACGGAAACAAAAGGTTATATATCGTTTACAAGGATACTACGCCATGGCCCACCACGAGGGCCCAAGTGCGTTCTAATGGGTGTTAACTACTGCAGGTGCAAGCGGAACCAACGGCTTAACGAGATAGATAAATCTGAATCATAGGGAATCTAATATAAAAAATCGATCGCGGAAATGTATGTAGGTACGCTCATAGCTTCCGAATGGGATTATTCTTTTTTTTATGTGTTACTTATTTCAGGATCAGGTTTATATGTATATTTGTATGGATATCCATATTAACATCAATGTTTGCAGTCGTTGAACCTAAATAGCTCTATCTACTCCGGTCAGAGGTTGCTAGTTTCGTTTTATATTTACTCAATTGCTAGTTTCGTTTTATATTTCTAGATTTTCCATGTCGATTTATGGGGTGATGATAATCAAATGTTGAATGAAGATCAAATAGTGAAGCAGCTCAAGGACGTTATGGAACATTCAAAATCTCGAACAGATACACCGGTCGGGATTTTGACATCAGAAAATCGCGACGTTTGGGCGAAAGCCTACAATATCTTAGTGAAAGGTTAGTATTAGTATTTACTTATTTATTTTACTCTTTCTGCATAAACGTACAAGTCGGACTTAATGCCATTAAGGCATTTTCTACCAGTCAACTTTAGGGTGATGTGGAGCAGAATAAGTGGTAAGGTGCACAATCAGAAACAATATGACAACTATATAAGATCAAATTAAAAAGTTATCTTACAAAGGTACACATACATTTCAAATACATACGATATAACATAAAGAAACACATAAATATAATTTATTAAAAGTACTTTCGAAATGTCCAATTTCGAAAGTTCAATAACGAGCCAGAAACCCACCATCACTAACAGAAGTAATGATATTTGGGTGAATCAACTTTTAAGGCACTCCTTTGACAGCATTGTGAAACAAAAAATCAAAATATAATTTAATCGAATTTACAAGAATAAATGTTTTTATATATTATAGCATTTACCCTATTTTTAGATTTCTAAGGTAGCCGCGAACTTAAACCTTTACTTTTTGAGATTTTTGAGTACAAAGGAAGGTCTGTCGTTAATCTTTCACCTGCGTTATCTATTTTGCCACATTTATTTGTGAAATAAAACGAACTATTTAAAAAAATCAGATATATAATTCTTTAACACAACAAAAATAGAACCTTTTAAAATAATTTAATATAGTCTATTGTTATTACCTCTTGAGATGCATAATATTTTAAATGGACTGCCTTACTTTGGCAATAATTAAAGTCTTACTTTAAGATAGCTCCATATTACAAATAATCAGTCATTTGAAACTTATATCTAAATCAGTCGGTACTTTTATATTCTTATTATTACATAATTTTGATTATTTACCACTCATATTGCAGAAACTATTTCCTAAAATACAATCACAAATTAGGGGACACCCGGTAACACCAGAGATAAATTAGTAACGCTAGAGAACAAGGTAGCACCTGCGCATAAAGTCCTCTAATCACATAACGTAATCTAACATTAACAAGGCAACAAATAAAAAACTTATAAACATAAATGAGATCAAAAATTAAAATAAAACAATAAAGAAATAGCGAACAATTAATTATAAGTCTTATATCTTTTCAAAAACTTCTAACGACTCTTTAAAAACATAATAAGAGCGACAACCTTTCTTAACAAGAGCAGGTACAGGTAATTTTTTGACAATATTTTCATGATTAACGTATGAAATATCCTTTTTATCCAAACGAAAACGTTTGGCGTTTTCATCTACCACTCGTAAAAACATTACTTGTATTTCTCCGTCGTCCTCAATTTCTGTTAATGTTTTGCAAGCATAGGTGTAGGATTTAGATTTAGATGCATCTACATACAATTTAACTAATAGAAAGTCACCGCGTCCTATCTTTGCATTAATGTCATAGCTGGCACTAGGTTCTTTATCAGATGAATAGCTTTTATCTGATTCAGAATTATAAATTTTACTGTATGTATTTTGGCGTCTATTGGTCAATTCCTGTAACTGTTTGGTAATTTTTAAAGATGCTAATGGTGTGTCGTCATCGGATATAATTTCCAAATCTAAAGTCAAAGTATCAGAAGCCATGACATCAATCATGTGTGCTTCTAAATCTTCTGGCAGAGCATCTTCATTAGTCAGGTCTGGAAGAAGTTCATTCTTATTTGCATCAAAAAGAACTGCAAGGTCATAAAGTTTTGGGTTAAGGCACGAACAGAATCCTCTTGGTCTTAGGCTCTCACTCTCACAAAAACAGGTTAGGTCCCTGTATTCTAGCTTCCCATAACAGTTTGAGAAAACCTGATGTACTTTTAGCGTTCCTACAAGTCGTGGAATATTTTTAGGTAGGGCTTTATGTTGGTTCTCTATATCATTGGAGTCAATAACATATAATATTATTTTACTAACATTTTTCATCTCCTCATAGAATTGCCAAACATTAGCAATGTCTTTACCATTAGCTACGATTTTGTCCGCCGTTCTTTTGAAAAATCCTCCTATTCCATCAGCTGGCCCTTTTCCATGGCCAGCTTCAAAAAATGACCATGTCATATTAACAAACCCGTAATCAAAAAACCTTGTACACATTAAATAAAAATTTTGCTTTTGCCGGTATTGGCTTGGGCCATCCGAGTAGAAATGGACTGTGTTAATATCTGTAAAATTAGACCTTATACTTTTCAAAATTGTTGGATTCGGAAATAGTACAAAATGAATTAACTTCATAACCTTTTGCAGAGTTAAATGTATACACTACAACAGTATGAAGAGAAATTTGTTTACGCGACCCTCCAAAATGGTGGGATTGTACTTCTTGACTATGTTTGCAGTTGTAATTTTCACTAAAATCGGCGACCAAAATGCATTCATATGGACGTATATTATCAAGACAGTGGCGGAAACTTTGAAATTGTGTCTTAATATTAAATACATGTATTTTAAACACCTTTAGATCATTCTCGAATATTTTGACAAATGCTTCAGCCTCCTCATTTTTATATTCTTTAACATTTTTTATAGTTTTTAATAATTTTTCGTCTTTCTTGTAACTATCTTCTTTTCTTATCCATTCTGGCCATGTGATAGTACCTCTTATATTCTTTCGGAAATATTCATATTTTTTATTAGCACATAGATCACATATACCATACATACATTTTTTTGACTTCACATTACAAACAGTCGACTCAATAAGAATATTTAAGTTGTCAGTACCTGTTATACCTTTTTTTCAAAACATTAGCTTTGTATGCAAAGTTTGTGTGTATCTTGCATAGACACGTATTACGATCATCAACAGAAGCACTAACCACATAAAATGGCTTATTTCTTGTAAAATAAAAATAAGAACAACGAAGGTCAGGGTTCTCTTTAATAAATGCTTTATATAAATTTTTCATAGAATCCAACATAAATCTTTTTTGAACCTTCACCTGTGCTTTTGTGACAGTTTCTTTTTTGCCGGCTGTAGCTCGTAAAACATTATCTCTCAAATAAAAATCTTTAATTCGTCTCTTTAACACAGTTTCATTCTCAATGCAGAATTTCCTTTGAACTATTTTGTCGATTCCTAAATTATTCATAAGCATCTTTTTCTTCATTCTTGAGTCTATGACTTCCACAGTTGAAAAAAATTTCTTAATCACCTCTCGTTCTTTCCTCGATTTTGTTTGTTTAAATGTCTTCTTAATAGCTCCACTCAGGACCTTGTACCGTAAGTCTTCATTTTTCTCAGTGTCAAGAGCCTTTTTTTTCTTTTCTCTTTCAAACCTTTTTTTCTACTTGTCATATTTTTGTTTCAACTTTTTAATATTTTGCTTAAGTATTTGGTTTTCTCTATGTACGCGTGCCCTGTCCCTTTTAACTTTATTTTTGCGTCTATTTTTTGGGGTCCCAGATGGTGAAGAGTCATACGAACGTATTCTTGGCGTTAGCGGTGGAGTGGCTTGAGGCGAAGCGACCGGTGTAGTTGTAGGAGTGGTATTTGTCACAGGTGCATTTCGTGGGCTTTCCTTGCCAGATCGTGGTATTAACCGTGGAGAACAGCGTACTGTATTTCGAAGACCTGGTAAAGGTCTAAAACAGGGTGGCGGCGTAATTCGTGAGGATTGATCTCGGGACGATGGCGATGGTGGTGGAGTTCCACCTTGTACATTTAAATCGAATGTAGGCGAATCTGGAGGTGTCTGTTGTAATAAACCTTCTGCAGCTTTCTTTCGTGCCTTCAACTGCCTTTTCCTTAGTTTCCATATCACGTTTGCATTATACCGTTCTTTTGGTGTTAAATCTTTGACTAATCTTTTAGTTTTATAATATCTTTCCCTTTGCTTTTGCTTAGCTTTTTCGTATTTTTCTCTATCAGTTTTAAGCCTTTCCCTATAACGCTTTTGTTTCTCTGCCGCACTAAGCGGCATTTTACTTTTGTGTAATCGAAAGTCCAAACCTAAGACAAAGTAAACAATATTATTAAACACTTTGGCAGTCCGAAATATCCAACTATGAGTGTAAATATATCCCACTTATAGTATTTTATGATTATAAGGCGTATGCATTTTATTAATAATGGTTATTAAAAAAAAGGTTTGGATTTATATATTTTGATTTCCCGACGTTTCCGACTTTACGGGAGCCATGGTCACGAAATGAACAATACTGCAACTAATTGTACACGCGTTGTTGCAAGTTAAAGTGCTTTATTTAATATAAATGCATTAACTATTTATGTCAGACTACTCACATTGTCTCTGGCGTTACTGGTATCGCAAGAGACAATTCTGCTTCGTTACCAGTAACGCAGTAGAAAATTCATGGTAAAAATACAAATAAGTAATTCTACGTTGCAAATTGAACCATTATTTTAACTTTGCCTTCAAATCAGACGTTATGGTTAAAATTTTATTATAATAATAGTAAAATATTCCACAAACTTACCACGATGTCCGGGGTAACACTGCGGAGCAACAATAAACCCACACGCACTACTTGGGCACGCAACGAACACTGGCGGGGGGAGAAACGTCGAAAGAAAATAACGGTCAACATCGACGTGAAGTTAGACAAAAGGCAGCGCTAGCGACGCCAAATAGGTACTCTCCACGCGATTATTTCAAAACTAAAGAAGTCACTCGGGAGAACTAAGTTTTGAGACATTATTGGCGACAAATCCTAATAAATAATTAGTAAATATTGTTTAAATACAATTAATAAAATGTTGTACTGAAGATAAATGCTTTTTTAATGTAGATTTTAAATATGTTGAAATAATTGTGTAGCTTGATATATATTTTTTAAGATTTGACTTGATTTGCTTGATCGACTATGCCTGGTGACATAGAGTTTTTGTATGGAGAGTTAAAATGTTCTCCTGCGATACTGTAGCTTGAAACGTTTAAAATTGTTAAAATTAAAAAGTCTTTGTTCTCATGTTACTAAATGCATCTAATTTTAGGTTAATAAAGAAAAAAAGAAGTTTATAAGTGAGTTTTATTCAATATGATTTTTCTAGAGCGCGGACACGAAAGGAGTGTCTTAAAAGTTGATTCACCCATTTACAAAAAATACTATTGTAGTATAGTATTAGCCAAAGCACACAAGTGTAGCATTCTATTTAAGACGTTATAGGGTGCGAAGGCATGAGAACGAATGAGTAGATGAGAATGATATCTTAAGCGAATGGTATCGTATAAGAGAGGAAAATCACAAAACACGCACATGTACAAACGCTTAAAAATATTTTGTGATCAAATTTGTCTTAAATCCGGCTTTCACTGTCAAAACTCAAGCTATTTTCTCTTTTCAGATAATGTTAACAGAGAAAACTTAGCAGACATAGAGAAAAGCCTGGCCATACTTTGTCTAGATGCACCAGTTGGACTTTGGAATTGCTCCAATAAAAACGCCCAGCAGAATTTAGCTGGTGCACAAACTATTCACGGCGGTGGTTCTAGCAGTAATGGAGGCAATCGTTGGTTTGATAAAACAATACAGGTTAATACTTCATAAACATTATTTTGATATACTATGTTCTTTTTAGGGTACCATACCCAGAGGGTAAAACGTGACCATAATACTAAGAACCCGCTATCCGGCCGTCTGCCACCAGGCTGTATTTTATGAACCGTGATAGTTAGAAAGTCGAAATTTTCATAGATGCTGTATTTCTCTTGATTTTTTTTTATAAATATTGATACGGAACCCCTCGTGCGCGAGTCCGTCTCGCACTTTGCCAGTAATTCTTTACCTCTTCCTGTTAATAGGTTAAAGAAAGAAGAAAACTAGAATAACTTACAGTTACAAACACAATATTAAACTTTGTGTCCTGATTAAATTCTAGTATTGTATTTTGTGCTTACAATAAAGTACATTTGATATCATAATATAAATAAGACGATTTAAAAAAAGATGATAATTTATCACTTAAGATATGGCGCTTTTATTTGATAACTCTTGTTTTATCAGATGATTGTTTTTACTCGGAATTGATGAATCATTCGTTCCTCGAAACAAAACATACAATAATAATTTCTTTGAAGTTTTTATTGTATGGTATTATACAAAAATCGCAATAAATGTGTCTCGACATATTCTTCTCCAATAATTTTATACTCATATTATAAAAAGGAAAGATTTGATTGCTTATTTGTTTGCATTGGATAGACTCCGATGGTTCCTTTTCTATGGCTCAAAACACACCTGCTAGAGCGAGAAAGATTTTCTTAACCTCTCTTATTAGTGCTATAGTTTATGTATCTATCTATATGTGTTACATTTTTATAGTTAAATAACACTTTCTTATATGTGAAACGTTTCAGTTCATAGTTGGTGCCGACGGAGTGACAGGCCTTACTTACGAACATACTCCCGCTGAAGGACAACCCATAGCAATTTTGACAGATTTCATTATTAATTATTTGTATGATATCCGTTATTGTTTATTTTGATTTTATACTTAGACACGATTTATTTATTAATTTTTAGAATTACTTTATTTTAGAGAACAAGGAAAAACTGGAACTTCACAATCAGCTAGTCCAAAACAGCCTAAACATTTGAAGTTCAATGTTAACTCTGACGTTAAAAACATGATCAACAAAGCTAAAGAGAATTTAGACAGGTATGGGTTCATATGTATAGTAAAAATATTAGATATTTTTTATTTACTATCCACTATTCTGGGTTGCAGTAAATGTGGTGTAAATATAGAGTAGTTTCGGTAGTGAAAAACAAGCCACGAAATTGCACAAAAGCTAAAATTAACATTGAAATAAACAGATATTCTGATTTTGAATCACAAAATCGGCTTCTCTATGCATCTGTTTTGTGTACATATCGGTATGACGTCATGAATATGGCGCACAGCGTTTTCTTGACTATTAAGTTGAAGTCATATATTCTCTATTATTTTTGTTTTGTTGGATCATGATTATAATAATTTCAGATTAGCAAATAACCTGGAATTGAATTGTTTTACCTACGAAAAGTACGGTAAAAATTTTATTAAGTCGCAAAAGCTAAGCCCAGACAGCTATTTACAAATGGCTATGCAGTATGCTTTTTACAAGTAAGTATATTGTCTATTTAAGTTTGTACCTAAAGGCAAAATACTAGTAGAAATCAACAAAATTGTGAATTTAAGAGATAACTATATATTTTTTTCGTCTATCGTATGACCCATTCATTTATATTATGTAGTTTTCTCATTGTCAATAACCGCTTATTTGGACATTATTTCTTTGTACGAAACCAACTGAAAGTCTGTGATTATTTATTTGAGCGCCCTTTTGGATGACAGAACTATGCCCGATATATGAATGAATCCAAGTATCTATTTATCATCCCTCTCAGCCTATATTTCATGAAAATCTTGGAGTCGTTTCTGATATTCTAAATAATTGCTTGTTTAACGGTTAGTGGCACAAACGTCCGTTAAAGTTTAGTGGCGATTTTAAGTTTTAATTTATGTTCTAAATTCACATTCACACACGCGTTTTTGTTCTTTAGGCTCCATAATACTCCTGGCGCGCACTACGAATCTGCAGCCACAAGGATGTATGTGGGTGGACGTACGGAAACGATTAGATCATGTTCTATAGAGTCAGTAGAGTTCGCTAAAACCATGTTAAATACTCAAAGTTCACCCAAGGACAAACTTCAAGCAATGCAGAAGGCTATAAATGCGCATAAACATTATACTGTACAGGTACCATTATTTATATATATATTACTTAATATTTTGGCTTTCTTTTCAAAGTTCAGGTTTGACGGGGTCAAGCCCAGAGTCTACAACCCCCCATAAAAACTATACGTTTACGTATTTTTACATTAGGAAGACAGTTACTTCAAGAATACGCCCATGAGTAGTATTAGCCCAGGGACTCACAAATTCATGATCTATTCCTGTCTAGTACTCTAGTAATTCTTATGTGTAACGACAGTTCATAGTTAGTACCTATGCACTTATCTATACCAACATTATAAATATGATAGATTTGATTATTTGCATTAAATAGACTCCGTAACTACTGGACAGATTTTTAAAATTCTTTCACCTACGGGAAACTGTACACGAGTAACATAGACTAAGATTTATGCGTGCGAAGTCGTGGGAAACAGGTAGTTAAACATAATTTACTTATTTGTATATTGCTTTTCATCCTGCTAGTATACATATTAGACGTCACATACCCAACTTAAGTAGTTAACCGGGAATGAACCCGGGTCCTCAGAGATGACGACGCCTTGAAACCAGCGTACGAGTTATTCTGCCACGGAAAACCTCAATATAATTTTTTAAATCCGTTACCTTTTGTCATTCGAAATATATTGATCGGTATTAAGTACAGCTTGATTGAACTGCTTTTAATAAATAAAATTAAATACCTACTACAAGTAAAGATTTGGACCTTACAAATTAGAATAATTGACAATATGTCATCAGCACAGCCAGTCAAATAAATCATTTCTGAGTATTATTCCTGACTTTCAGGCACTTCAAGGTTTAGGTGTGGACCGACATCTGCTTGGATTAAAACTTATTGCCATTGAAAATGGAATTGATATTCCCAAACTATACTCAGATGCGGGATTTGTTAAAAGTGCTCATATGAGAATATCTACAAGTCAGGTATGTTGCTTACTAATCTCTAGTTTAAGCTTAATAAATTAGATATTTTGGACAAACTCATTCTTATCGAGAAGATGCACTTAACACCTCTTAATTATTGGAAAAAAATAACAAAATATATTTTTTTTAACTAAACTATTAACCATAAATTACTTATATGAAAAAATATTTAAAATGTCCGTGCGCGTCTCTAACGCGTGCAGTTAGGCGCCCCGTGTCATTGATATTAACACGGAGACCGAAATACTAGTGTTTCGAAAGTTCAGTTTTACGATTATAGTATACTTGCGATTGTAGTACGCTACCTTTTTGCATCGAAATACTTTTTCCTTAAATAGGGATGGATGATGACTGAATTTTTTCTATCTGTCTCTCAGGTAGATTGTTGCAAAATATTAAACTTGTTACTAACTTTAAACTTTTTATTTTTTGCGTATTCATTAAGTTACGCATTACGTCACGCTTTTGTACATTTTCTACAAAACTGTGACGTAGCGAGCCCCCACTCCTCCATTTAATGCTTTTTATATAAGCTATTTCTTGTTAAATTGAAGTGATAAAAATAAACATCTACGAGTAATATTTTTTTATTATCTGACCTACGGACTAAATAGAATTTCTTTGTTTTTACCCAGTCATCATCCTTATTCCTCCGAGCATGCGACATCACAAAGCATTATTGACTGAACACTTGTATGTAACCGCGAGGGCGTACGCTAGACGTAGTTTAAGCCTTTACAAACAAATAGGACCTAAATTGGTACTCACAAATGTTAGTTGAGAGAGAGAGAGAGAGAACTAAATAAGGGCAGCCTTGTATTGTGAAATAGTTAATACGTGGAGTCGTTCTAGTATATAAATACATCTCACCTCTATAATACGATATAAACTGTAGAAAATAATTACATTGGCTGGCGATCGGTTATTGGGCAATCACTCAACAATAGGTACATTGGATGTTATACAAATTACTGCTTCATAGCAGCGCCATGAATATGAATTGCAAAAGTATTTATTTATTTTGCTTTATTTTATTTTTAGGTAGCCTGCAAATGCGACGGGTTTATGTGCTATGGGCCACTTGTAGATAATGGCTATGCCACTTGTTATAATCCACGCGATAACGATGTCAACTTTGCTACATCAGCGTTCAAAGCCAATCCCGAAACAGACTGTATTAAGTACAGAGGAGCCTTAGAACAAGCGTTGCAAGATATGCATGATGTGCTGTTACAAAATACGTCATCCAAGTTATAAACGATTATACTTCATAAATATTTACCTATGGTGGAGGGCTAATACTTCATTGTGCTAGAAAAGCATTTATATACGTTAGAAGGTAACAAATATATAAATTAAGACAATACATTGAACTGTGGTTATGAAAGTTGTATGTATTCAATTTATTATATCTGTAACTATATCTTATACTTCCACTGGTACTATTTAAATATCAATGTAATAGGCATTTCGGATATTATGCTGGATCGTCTAGTGCGTTCAAAGGTGGATCCAGCTATCAAATCGGGGGGATAAGAAGTCCCAAGTCGAGATCGAGTCAAGACAATACAACAATGTAATTCATTTTAATTCTTTTATCATTACAAAATCTATGAAGCATGTAATCAGTGTCGATCTCAAAGGAGATGTTAAGGCCTCAAACAACCAGCCACTCTAATGTCATGCCATTGCATACTCTGCGTACTAGTATTAGTTGTGAAATAATATTTGAATATATGTGTATTTTTATTTTGTAAACATAGAATGTACACACGGTTTCACGTCAGGTTACAATATGTTAAATTTCTGCAATGGATTTTGACCTCTACTCCCGTTATATTAAGGTTTAAAATAGAGTCTGACGTGCGGTTGACTGTATCTACTGAAATACACTTGAAATGGAAGACTTATAAATAGTGAGTGTTCTGTGTATACCTACCAATTGTAAATTCATGATTTTTATCTTTTATGGTGTGGATTTGTATTCGGTAATTGGAAATGAGAAGACTGTTTAAATTTTGAATAACTAAGGAAGTTGCTATGTAAAATCGTATGAGAAATATACCTAATAAGAGGTACAGAGTTGACACTGTAACCAATCCTGTGCTGATGATGAATTTATACTCGTAGAAAAGTATTGTAAATATATACATTTTAATAAATAAAAAATATATTTATACACTGTACAAACGTTTATTTCTAATGAATACATTAAATACCGCCATTATTGTTGCCATCTAAGAACAATTGCCTTTTCGATATGATGGACTGAAAATTTTATTAAGACTTGCTTATATCTACCCTTAACTCACTACAGCATATACAGTACCTTAGTAGGTACTCATTTAAATCTATTATTCTCTAAATTTATTAAATTACTTGTTCTAAGTATAGGTAGTAAATAAAAAGTGTTAAATGTTAAAACATCCACCAAAATTCAAGCATTTCATTTTTTAATTCAGTGTAAAATACATAATCTTCCTTATTTCATTGCACCCGGCAATGTAAACCACTAAGAATAAAGCAATGGTGTGCATGTAGCCCTATTATAGAAATAACTATTAGCAGAAGAGTTTTCGTCGTGATTTAATTCTATTAAGAAAATTTTCTGTTCATTTTTTTATTATGTCATAAGAAATATGATGTCAATAATTTTATTTTTAGTTAAACTTAAGTTCGTTCTTGGTAAAATCTAACTGATAGATTACCGTCATTTGTGTACACGCATTGATATGGACTGTCTGTCCAGTTCATCATCATCATCAAAAAAAAATATATACCTTTGATATATAGACAATATAAATATTGAAGTGAGAAAGGCAAATTTTTAAATAAATAATAAATGAAGCTGCCAAAATATGCGTTTGCTTAAAGATTTATCTGCCACTGCAAGGGCAAAAATCGAGGTCTCTGAAGTCGTCATTTTATCATGTTATCCCTGTAAGGGTAATTTGTGCAATTTTTTTCATATGCTTCAGTAGCTATCGTATAGAATAGAAAATACTTTTGGTAAAAAAAAACAAATAATTTTGAAATTCCATAATTAAATATTAAAATTAGCAATAGTTTAATTCTTTTATAATATTAATTTATATAAAAAAAAATCATCGACCTTCATATGCCTAAGCAGCAAGGTGTTTATAGAAATCTTCATTTTCGGATATCACCAGGGTAAAAAAAAAAATAGAAAAAAATGGTGTTCATGATTCACTGTAACAACAAAATTTAGCGCACTGACTACAAATTTCTCTTGTATTATTCCAGGACACTACGACATAACGTTTACCTGCCGCCGATTGTTTTCCATATTTCTAAAAATAACATATTTAGCCCACACTACAATGAAAACAAGTTATTTTGACTTCCGAACAGCTATAAAATTGGAGTCACGTAGCAGCTGCAGAATGGTTCCAGTTTAATGCTTTCCAAAACACGTTAAGCGCATGTTTGTATTTCTGCTGAGATTAAATTAATGTTTTTTTTATTTGATTATCGTAATTGAACCGATAGATGGCGTCGTTTTTCAAGACTGTCACAAAGCTTGTCACAACATTGACTGAATAAATTATTAGATTTGTTTATTTGTAATTATATTGATTTGGTAATGTTCCTAATGACATTTTATGTAAACGTCACCGCGAGAAATTTACAGTACAGTAGTAACTGTTAAGCTAATACATTTCTCGAGGTCACCCTTCTTGTCAGCAAAAATCTTCCTATATCCTGAATAAGGTATATACGATTCTGAAGTGCTCCCAATAAACTTGAATTAGAATAAAGTATATTTAGATTTTGAAAAATTCAACAACCTCGCATCCCCGAAAACCACCCGAAAGTACGAAAAATATTAATACACGTCCACAAAACATTCCAGTACTTATTTTATTTAATGAAATTTATAGAATCCAAAATAGTAGGTAGGTAGGTAAGTAAAATGGATCTTTATTCATTTAATACATCTTTAACATGAACACACTTAATAATATTATTTATTCACGAGAAAAACACAAACCTCATATCGACATAATCGTTCTGGCCAAATAAGATGGCGGCCACGACGCATTAACTCACTCTAATGCAGCGCTACAATCCACGAACACACTTTCGATAGATTTTTAACCGAACTTTAACACCTGCATCCATAGTCAAGTAAAAGCAATGAGTAAAATAAATTACTTAAGCAAATATCTTTAACAAAAAAACATGAATTTTAATGAAGTAACTGTTAATAGTAAGAATACTATTATTAATAGCTATTAACAGTTCTTATTTCATTCAAAATATCGTCTCTTGATTAAAAATATTTGCTTAAGTTATGACATATTTTTCAAGTAATTACTTGAAGAATTACTTGAATAATTCTTCAAGTAATTACTTCTCTCGACTACGAGATACGGCTGTCAGACTACAATTGGTTACTAGTAATGGTCAGTACACACCTTTTTTGGCCGCGATATATCATTAGGCCACTGCTCATGTGGTTGAAAAATGTCATGAACTATCTCAGATCCTTGATAAATGATATGATTCTGTCAGAATATTTGGATTTTTTATAATTTCTACTTAGTCATTTTCTTCATACTGCAATAACTATGATACATCACAAAATAATTTCTAATGAGTTGTTGCCATAAAGTCAATAGATAAAAGCATGGAGTTAAGTATTTTACTAAAATATTGGAATTTTTATTGATATTTAATGAACACTTCACGCAAATCAATTTTTTCCATCTGACATTTTGATCGAAACAGAGTTACAAAGTATAGGTACCATACAATTCATTGTTTATATCCAAATAATATATAATGTGGAATGTTCCTATGTGTATAAAGTAAAATAATTTTTATTTAAATAAAATCAATCGCACGTTGATTAACAATAATGCAGTTATTACTTATTAAAAATAAATTCTTAACAATAAAGTGTGATTTCCTAAATAGTATATAATATAATTTTAGCCAGGGTCGGTTAGCAAGTGCAGTTGTCACGAGAGGCTGGCGGCGCGGCCAGCGGGCGGCCTGGCGACGCCGGCTTGTGCTGAACACCAGATTCTGCTGCATTCAAGTCAAGCCTACCGTCCTGAATGCTTTGATATATTTTCTTTGCTGTCTCAAGAAATGCTTCTTCCACGTTTTGGCCCCTAAAATATATAATTCAGTGTTCATAAACATTTCCCAAGTACAGGCCCCGATCTAGGAGGGGGCAAGTAAGGGCACTCGGCCCGGGCGCCAGTGTCAAGGGGGTGCCAAAATCGTCCTTATATATTACAACTCCCGTAAATTGCTAATGCGCTGGAACATTGTCTAAATAACACCCGCGTCATTTAAAACTATTAAAAAGTATAGATAGTACAAAATCGAGTGATAAAATATTTATTAATTATTGAAATATACATAAATAATCCTAAAAATATTATTCAAATTATTTAACTTTTAGTTTGTTAATTTATTTCATTAATTATAGGAAAAGGTGAAATTTTATGTTAATATTAAGGTATTAAAACAAAGCAAAAAGTAATAATGAAATGGGAGACATTAGATATAGCTATTTATTTTTACTGAAATTACGTTTACTCCTTGTGAAAATCATAATCGCAATTGCTATTTTAGTCAACCATAGCAAGTGACGACAAAACTTAACAATAACAATCGAAGACAACAAAAATTGTGTATGATCTCAACATAACCCAACTCAATAAGAGTATTCGTCAAGCAGTGTTTATTTATTAAGGGTACTGATTTTTGAACGCAATCACGTCACCAAAATGGCGCCGATGCGCATTAGCAATTTGCGGAGATTATACCTTGTTATAGTTAAAAAATTGAGCTTTACAAATCTTCACACAAATTATAGGCTATGATAGGTCGGACATACATCAAAATTACACATCATACATTGCAAAATATGATAATATAAAATCCGGCTTTACGCGTGGAGGGGAGGGTGGGTAGAGGAAGGGCGCCATACAAAGTTTCTAGCATAAAAAACATAGATCCGAGGGCTGCTTAAGTATACTTTATTTAAAGTAATACTGATAATGGTCATAAACCCAAAGAGTATTATTATATTTAGGAAACATAAACCTATAATGGTTAACAGCACGGTAAGATATGTTGTCTAATATCTCGCGTTTCTAGTGAATTCTGGTAAACCATCGTCTATGAAGTGACATTTATTTAATTTCCCTATAATACAAAAGAATATAATAGGAGAAGAATGAAATAAATATTAGACCACATCACATTTATTGCTCAGATTCCAAGATGAATAGCTTAAGCTCCCGTATGATAGAGTATCTGAGACAATGAAAGGTTCCAACCTGGAACTACAGAGATGATAACACATTGAAACTGACATGTGAACCAGTTAAATTGGATGTTAATTGTCTGTACAACCAATTGAAATTAAGTTTGTTATTGTTATATTTAGCAATTTTGCATTAACAATGCTATACTGAAAATATGCTTAATGAAAAATGCTTAAAAATCCATTTCGGATTAAGTTTCTTTTTTGGGTATATATCATACAATTCAATTAATGATGTTGTATATTAAATATAATAAAAATTTACTCACGTTTTAGCACTTGCTTCAACAAACATTAACCCATTTTCATCAGCAAACTGTTTAGCTTCCTCATATGTAACATCTCTCTGGCCATCCAAATCAGATTTATTACCAATTAAAAATATCACAGTGCTGGGATTAGTCAAATTCCGGGTGTCTGTAAGCCAGCTGCTTAAATGATTATAAGTGGACCTGTAAAACATAGTAATCTAAATATCGGGTAATAGTTTTTAACTGACCAACTTCCAATGAGGTTTGATAGATTTATCAACCATCTTTGAGTTTATTAAAATAATTTTTAGAGGAACCCTAAGAGAGCCTACCTACCTACAAATAGTTCTATGACTGCTTATTTCACGGATTCGGATCAGACGTAGTGCGAAACCACTCTAAAGAGTTCCGCCAAGTCTGTCCGTCCGTCTGCGACTTAGCTCAATAAATATTGGGTCTAGAAGGTTGTAATTTGATATAAGTATACGTTAATAACGTCGACATTTTTGGGAAAATTTCTTTTTACTATATATACTAAAAATAAACTTTGAAAAAAGAAATTAGGGTACCTCCCCTACATGTAGGTGTATGAGGATGATATTTGTTTTTCTGTCTTCCCCATAGTGTTGGGTATCATTGTACGGATCTTTCAAAAAGATTGGGGATGTGGAAAGACCATTTTTCATTTGTGACTTATTAAGCTATAAAGAGCCAAAGAAAACTATTAGAAACTATCACACTTAAGTAAGCTTTAGTTTACAAGAAATAGTCAACCAATTGAATTAAACTCGAAAATTTTGAATAACTCCATAGAAAACAAGCACAAGTTCAACTCGCACTTGGCCAGTTTGTGAAATCACTTTTAGTTTTGTTCCAGCTGGACAGATAAATTTTCAGTAAGTAGGTATTTATAAATAGCAATATATATTTCCAATTCTCCAACAATAGCCAGACATTTACTGAAAGCAAGAAGTTAAGACCCTCCTATGACTCCTGTGGCACGGAATTAAGTGTTAGTACTTTAGTTATGTTACTGTATGTTAAATATTGTTTAAGAAAATATTTGAAAAAAGACAAATGACATTAGCTGTCTCAAGTACTGCATTAAAAAATACATAATAAAAATTATGTATAATTACCTTCTTGTTATATCATACACCATTAAGGCACCAGCTGCACCTCTATAATATGAACGCGTAACGGCCCTAAACCTTTCCTGTCCAGCAGTATCCCAAATTTGCAGTTTAATTTTTTGCCCTGCTACTTCAATGATTCGAGTACCAAACTCCACACCAATAGTATGAGGGCAGTCAGCCATAACTGAAAAGAAGAGAGATGTTTATTATATCAAAACTTTGGTGTAGCTTTTGAAAACTACTTACATTTACTAGTTGAAGTTAAAAGTTTTCAAACATTTAAGATTTACAAGAAAAAATCTTGAACTAATTCAAGGTTTGAAAATATTATGGTTACATACCTCATAAACATATTAATATAATACAAATAAGGTTAGCTTATTTATTTAGTTAGCTTATTATTTTATCTTAGTTCGCTTATTTACTGCATTGTACCTTTTTCTATATCATGCTTAGATATAGAAAAAGGTCTGATGGTCTAATTCAGGTATGGGCAACCTTGGACATGTTGTGTGTTAAACTTTAGAGCGCAAATACATTCAAGGGCTGCATTTAAAAGTAGTACATTTTAAAGTAGGGTTGTAGTGCTCATAAAGTTTTGTAATAGATATTAGACTTGAAATAATACAACAATGTTATTATAAATTAGGTTTTTCAAAATGTCTCATGGGCCAGCTGTTGCCCACCTTGGATCTAATTAAAAAGGTTTCTTACCCTTTGTATAACTACATCTGATACAAAGTATAAATATTTTAAAAATCATACAATGAATCTTATCTTGAGTTTTTATCAAAGCAATATTGTTTTGTATAGATCCACAGATGATCATTTATGATAATACGTTTTTGTTTATAGACATTTCCATTTTACTTTTTGTATAATTGTGTTGTTAAAGTGTTTGATTATGTGAAACTTTTTGTTGGCCTTAATGTTGAGATTGTGGTATTATATTATTTGTATTGCTGTTGGTTTCAATAATAATAAATCATAAAAATTATTCATTTGCAGACAAGAATGAATAGATAAATCTAATAATGTTATTTTTCTGTTTTCATTATGGTACTAATTAAACTTGTTCCCTATTATAGAAATATTGTATCTGTATAAATCAATTTAAATTATAATTTATTTTTCCATACAGTAAAGGACTGTTTCTTTCCAAATATACCAAAAAAAGGAAGACATGGTGATTTACTTTTGTGTATTTTGGTCATTGTCTGGTTTTGCATTTATCCTAAAAACAGACTAAAGTACATATTACTTACATTTTTTATCTGTAAACTGATGTAAAAGACAAGATTTCCCAACTCCCATATCACCAATTATTATATATTTAAAAATATAAGAGTAATTATAAGGTCCTGAAGTCATGATTCTGAAAAATAAGAAATATATATAAACAATTTACATTTCTTTCACATTAGTTTTTAACATCACCTCCTTGCTTGTCCTACCTCCATTTCGTACAAATTCCCAAGGTAGCAACCACAGATAACAAATGACTTAAAATTCACAACACAAAAAACTGTGAGTCATTTCATCAGTAAATAGCGAACAGAGTGTAAATATGGAAAATCTGTCTCTTGCTACTTATTTACCTTTAGATGTAAGTATAACTAAAGTAAACAAAATCAATACTTACAGTAAATACCCTCTTCAGAATGTTTATTACCAAACAATGAAAATTAATGTCAAAGACGTTTACTCAATACTCAATCTACGTGTTGTGATGTTGAAAAATTAAACAAACACCACCGTGGTATTAATCGGATTTTAATTAAAAAGAAAATAAAAGATGCTTACCTATTTCGAAACACAAAAAACACAAGATGTTTTATCAAATCTAATATCCTCCTAAAATAGGTAAGTAAAGTTAGTTTCTATTCTTCTATTTCATAATTTTTTTTGAGGCGTAGCAAGTGGGTTGCCGTGCCAAAGCCTATTATTATTCTTTTTTTAAATTATTTTCTTGGCTTAGGTCATTGTGTTTTGGCTCCTAATTTGCAATAAAAAATATATAATAACGTAATAAAGAGAAACGACTGAAAAGAGTGGAATAATACCATTAATTTTATCTTTAATAAAATCGAAACACAAGAAGTAGATACACCAACAATTTTTTGTGGTCGTTGCCAGCCGTAATATTAGAAAGAAGTAAAACAGTACTATCAGAAAAGTTATTTTTCTCTTATATCTGACACAGACCTCAAAAAAGATTGTTGATGTTTGTAATTTTAATGTTTCTATTTTTTGAAAATTAATAATTGTGGTATTATTTCCTTCTTTTTAGTCTTTCCGGTTTTTACTTGTTCTTATAAGTCTGTCAAGTTCAAAGCTAATCAATGAGGAAGTATTTAAAAAATAAAAAATTGTTTTTGGAATCAAACTAGATGTCACTAGCGAAGTTTGGATCTTGTCTATGATATCCATTCAAATTTTCTGACATATTAAAAGTAAATTGAGTTAATTAATAAATATAACATCATTTCGTGTTTTTATAATACTTAACTTTCAAATTTATTTTATTTATTCGAATCGAAAGTTCACTTGTAACTTCAATGAGGAAGTATTTAAAAATAAACGTTAGTTCCCGAAATCAAAGTAGATGTCGCTATGGTAAGTTCTTAATTTCTCCATGACAACCCATTCGGTTTTCTTTTACGTTTAAAAGTAAATTAGTTTCCAAAACTCAATAAACAACTCATATTCTATTTGTACTTTTTCGTATTTGTATAAATACCTAAGTTACAAACTTTTCAAATTTCAGTTTTTTATATGTTCAATAAAAGGAACGGAAATGACTGTCTTTGCTCCATCTAGTGGAAGTTTTTCAAATACTTCCCCATTGACTCGATTCATCCAAATACAGGTTTGAAATCAAAAATAAAAAGCGGAGAGCTGAATTCAGCTTATTTTTTTTTTGTGCCATATTTCCATTATCCATCTACATGGCAAATTATATTAATATAAATTAATTTATATATTGGATCTTAATTGCCTAGTGAAATAGACAAATGGCGGGCTTAATGCCAAACAGGCATTCTCTACCAGTCAACCAGTAATTTTAGTACAAAACTTTAAGTGGCGACAGACATCACAAATGTTGATATGTACATAATGCTATTGATATCCCTACTAATAACTATATCGAAATATATACAATAATAGATGTACATGCAGGTGTAAGACCAAGAAATCTTGTTTGAAGCAAGGTAGAAGTTGCGAGTTGCTGTCTTGAATGCAAATATGTTAGGAGCATTTCGAACGTTCAAAGGCAGTGCATTCCAAAGATAAATATTAAAATCAATTCAGTCTAGGCTGTTACGTAGTACTAGTGAAAGTCGAAAATTTCGCCAAAGGTTCGCAATACTAACACAGGAGATCTCGAAATGAAAAGAACCGGCAAGAAACTCAGCAACGGCTGCTTTTTTCTTCCTGTTTTATTTCACACAGAGAAGTCTGATTAGAATGTGACTTAATTAGACTAAGAAGTCACTTTCCATTATAATATCAGAAATCCTACATATTGATTGACAAATCAATAAACAATATACATAATGAAAGTAAAATGTACAAAATTCAGTAGTCCAGTCACACGCGAGTCAGCGATCGCTTCACTCATCTATATTTACTCTAGGTACTTAATAAGTAATATATTTAAATAAAAAAGTCAACCTATTATTGTATGAACCAAAAAGCATAAACCCACCGTACGAATTAACATAACACCTGGCTCGACGTCCGCCGTCGACATGCAAATTCAGCAGCGATAGTATACGTGTCTTTGTGATTTTGAAATTTAAAGTTTAAATCTTGCTGTTCGTTTCAAACTGACGTTTCTTGTTGATTGTTGAATTTTTATTAAGATGAATTAATTATGAATAACACATATAATAATTGATCATCGCTTTTTATTCTTAATTTCGGAAGGAAAACTTATTTGCGCGTTATACTTTGCACAAACGTCATTCTAGTCAGAAGTCATGTTATTTTGTACGAATACCTAGTATATTTGATAGATATCGGGTAAGTATACTCGGTGGAACAGAACGACCGACACTCCCGAGGTTCCTGGAGAGTACTTTTTGTCTTTAGTATGATGTAAAAAAAAATATAAGTCTAGGTCAAATAGTTTCGGAGATATTAAATTACAAAGTTTATGAAAAAAAATTAGTGTTTTTAACCCTGAGTCAGCTGTTTTTGGGACGTACTAAGGAAAAGTTTTTAATCGGTCATTGACTTCTTCATTTCTAATACGAAATAAACTAGTTTGTTATTTATAAGACTGCTTTCATGCAAATTCTACCCGTCAATCAATAAACAAGGCAGTCAAAATGCTTAAATCGATTTACAGACTAACAGCCGGTTTATGATTTGAAAAAAGTAGAAAATTTCTACTGCTTATTCTCAATAACCTAAGTTTTTTTTTAATTTCACAAGTCAAATAGTCTTAATTTTATCAAACTGCTATCAACTGATCATCAAAAAACTAAAATCGGAAACGAAAACTAAGTGATGTTAGTTTGAGACGTTTAACTTTAAATGCTCAATTAAAAAACCGAGTGTAAAATTTCCTAAATTATTGTAGAGAGATCACTCTAACATTAACCTAGGTTATTTTAAAAGAGCAGTTCTCCATAAAAATTGTTTGAATGGGGTAATACTCCTTTAACAACGGGATCGTTAATTAAACTCGATAAACTCACAAATCTTCCAGCGATTCATCATTAACACAAATGAACTTTGTTTTAAAAACATTGAGGAATTTGTAATTAAAATAGCATTTAAAAAGAACATTAAAAAATGCGTGATATCAAAAGACGAATAAAAAAATATGAACCGAGTTCGTCCCTTAATATCAAAGCCCCACCCACCCGCCAGCCGCCAGGCGGCTTCATTATTGTGTTGGTATTGTCCGGCCGATCAGTCGCCGCCCTTTTGCGCTGGAGTGTTGTTGCGCATCGCCGCCGACGCACCGCTGCGAAGCGTCTTTTTTGTCGATTTTTGTTTTGTTCTAGTGCATTTTTAATTGAATTTTTGTTAATAAGATACTGCAGTGTTCGTCTTGAGTGTTATTTTATTTTTATTTTTTTTTATTCTAGATAGGCAAGCACTTGACCACAGATCACCTGATGGTAAGCAATGCAGTGGTCTAAGATGGAGCGTGATTGCCTAGAAGGAACCGATTCACTCTTGACTTGAAGAGTCCCAGATTGTATTTGCCGGAAACAGCGAGTCTGGTAGCGAATTCCACAGCTTCGCAGTTCGCACGATGAATGTAGAGGCGAATCGTTTGGTGCGAGTTTGTGGAATCTCTACAGTAAAGCTTCCCAGTACCCCTGGTTGTACGATAATAAAAAGGGGATGATGGAATTAAGTCGTGTAATTCCGATGCACACTCGCCGAAATGTAACCGATAGAAGACCGGTAGACCAGCGACTTTGCGGCGATGTTCAAGATTTAGTACTCTCTTTTTCCAAAGAGCGTCGCTTTCAATGAGCCTCTTGGCGCGCCTCTCGATGGTCTCCAACGCTTCAAGCTGGTATTTGGCAGAACCATCCCAAAGGTGCGAGCAGTACTACATGCAGGACCGCACTTGCGCTTGATATAGTATAAGCAGCTGTACCGGCGTGAAGTACCTTCGCACCTTCGAGAGTATACCGAGCTTCTTCGCTGCTAGCTGAGCTTTAGACTCAATGAGCCAAAATTGAGCGTTGAAGATAAAGTCACACCAAGAAGGTCAAGGTGGTCCGTGACCGGTATGGTTACATCCCGGAATTCGGGGGCCAGCTCAAACGGCCTCCTTTTGGAGGAGAAAAGACACGCCTGTGTCTTGGTGGCGTTGAAACTTACCAGATTGTCATCACCCCAATCGGACACTGCCTGGAGGGAAAGGTTCAGACGCTCAACCATTTCTTCTCTGCAAGACTGGATTTCAGCCGGGCTCACTCTCGGACTGGACATGTACCTCTCCATGACTGTGCTGTCGTCTGCATACCCAAAGATACCGGGTTTCAACAGATCGTTTATATGCAGCAAAAATAAGGTCAGCATTAATGGCCATATGGTCTGACGAGAAGCCGTTTTGGCAACTCTGATCGGGTCGTAGGCTTGCTTGTCGTCGGGTAGTAAAACTCCGTAGAAGGTGGAAGGATGGAATGTTTTATTTACAAATCTTACAGCTACTTATACTAAAACGTAATATAATATTATCCAATTGAAATTCCCTAAAATTATAAATACAAACTTAACCAATAAGAAATGCACATTTTAAACCAATTACAAGAAAGCTACAATATTTACAATGGAAGGGGAAAGTGACGAGAGGAAAGGGAAAGGGACTGAGACGCGGGACGAGGGATCGTGTGACG